CCCCTGCCACTGCAGAGAGGGAGCAGCGACCGTCGGGACAGAGGCTGGGCTTGCAAACGCAGAGGGGCTGGGTCTGCTTCCCTTTGCTCTGCCTAGCGGGAAAAAAACACCCCTAAGATTTCAATAACATACAGATGTTTCAGAGCTAGGCAGACTCCAGAGTAAGTCAGGACACAGAATGAAGTTACAACCTGTCCCCAGTACATCTCCTAGGTGTACAAACCACCTCCCCTCCTTTCACCCCTTATTAGCAAAGGGGAAAAAAACCCAACAAACTCTTAGGTGGAGGAGTGGATATACCAGGTCCCAGTCAGTCAATCTCAAAAACACCTCCCTGCCCATCTCTGGGATTGACTGGGGCACCGATGTTTGGAGATGCACATGGAAAGCCACTGTCTGGGTGTGTGGGGTGGCTGCTTTGGGGGCTTTCCCTGGCAGGAGCAGCCCATCGCCAAGCCATGGCAGCCGCCTGCCGGTCCCTGCTTGCCCGCATCCCTGCCTGTGTTGCCCATACGCACATCCATGCCTGTATAAACCACCTGCATCCTCCTTGCCTGCATTGCCCATACATGCATCAGCCCTACCTGCATTGCCAGCATCATCCACAAGAACCAGGGGAGCTCATGGCATGGGTGAGGGTCTTGCTGCTGTGTCTGTCCCATGGGATGGCACTGCTCCTGTCCTCCAATGGGTCCCCAGCCCAGCCTTTCCCAGAGGCTGGGGGTGCTGGGGGACAGGGCAATGGGGCACCAGGGGAAACATCTGGCTGCCTGAATGTAGGGAGCTCCTATTTTATTTAGGTTTTAAAATTTATTATTTAAAGCTAGCCCTGGCAGGCAGATGCCTAAGAAGAGATGCTGATCTGCTCAGACAGGCTCAGGGTGCTGGTGCTTGCGTCCATCTCCCCACCAGCACCCTCATCCCTCCCAAGCACCCACAGAGGGTGGGTGCTAGCGAGGAGCCCACCCTGTCTTCCCGATCGGCAAAGCAAGTCAGACACGTGTGCTGTGGCCAGAAGACCTGTTCAGCCTGCTGTGCTCCTCCAGCTTTACTTTGGCTCAGAGCACATCTTACTTTGACTCCAGATAATAACCGGCTTTTTAAAAGATGGTGATCTAAGAGCTGGCAGTCTTCATTACACTTATCCAGGGACCGCTGAGTCCTTTCCTCTCTCCATGTCCCCAGTGTGGGGACCAGAGATGGGCCAAGGTGTCTTGAGCTGGAACACACAGCAACAGCACCTTTTTGGATCAAGACACAGCCCCATGCCCCTCCACCAGAAAACACCACCTTTGTTGGCCACATTACACCAGTCAGCAGGATGCTTCTCAGGCCTGAGCAAGCCAAAGCCCTGGTGTCCTCCTGCCATGGATGAGTGAGGGTTTCAGAGCCTCCGAGTTTGCACATGATTCTCTCCAACGACTGAGACCCCATGCACAGCCGCAGTGCCTGCCTCGCTGCCTTGGGACCAGCTCTTCATCCCGGCAGGGTTATTCCTCAGCACAGCAAATCTTCATGGGTCAGTCTGAGCAGGGGTACAGATGAATGGCAGGCATCAATTTGTCAAAGGATAAAGGCTTTATTTATTAAAATAACAACTCTTTTTTTCATTGCGAGGCAGAAAATCTGCAGAGCGGTATGTGTTGTGACAGGGGTAACCAAGTCCTCGGGCTGCATCCGATCACACCTGTCAGTAACACTGATGAAATACGCTGAATATTTTCCTTCGTGGCTCCAACGGCTTAGGGGTGAAGCAGTCTCCGCTCCACAGCCCCGTCGGATGCCGCATCCAGGTCGTGCTCCTCCGGGTCCCTGGTGAGGTCTACAAACACCTGCAACAGGCCACAGTGGAAATGACCTCGTTATTGCCAAGGACTGACAGTATTTACGCTGGTCACAGGCTAGTTCTCCTTTTCATACAGGCAGTTTCTAACCTGTAGCTTCTACATCAGCATACCTGTTGCAAAGTGTGCAATGACAAGCTGTACTCCTCAAGCCTGAAATTCTGTTTAGCTGCGGAGGGATGGAGAAGGCATCCTTAAAAACCAAATCCGTATGAACAATTTGAAAGCAATCCTCTTACTTAATTGATTGTTTCCTTTTACCTGCTTCTAGCTTGGAGAAAGACTGGGACAGAGGTAATGCATCTTCCATTGGTATCTTGTAGACGAGCAAAGAAGAAGTCCTGAAAAAGTAGTTAAAAAGATAAATTCATCATTTCATGGCTCAGGATCAAGGTCTAGGGGTGTTTGTAGGGTTATTGTACTCCCAGGTAAATTATTGAGCAAGGTCAGTAGGAGCAACAGAGCATCCCAGCACAAGTCTGGGCTGGGTGTGCAGCCCACGGGGTAGCGACCTTTCTTGCCGAGCTGCGGAGGGGAAGAGGTGCAGAATTTCGGCATGGAGAGCATCGCTTTGCCCCACATCCCTCATTTTGACTTCTAGGTGGTAACTTGTGCCAAACTTCTTTTTCAGATCATCAAGGGAACCGATGTACCTGCAAAGGAGAGAAAACGTTGCTCAAACCATCGTAATCAGCAAATAAAGCCATCACTGGATATGAGCAGCAGATGTACATCCTCTTATTCATCAGCTGTTTATACTGTGCTGCTAAAACAACCTACCTCCTCGCAAAACTGTTACACATTTGGGACAATCCAAACCAACATTTTCTATTAGATTAAGAAAAAAAAACAAACAACCCCAAACCAAAAAAAAAACCTCCAAAACCCAGACTAAAAATCAGGCGGCATCCTGGTGAGTGATGTGACCCCAGTACCCACCGCAGCTGCCCTGACACCAGGATGGCCACCCGGTCACACATCGCCGCCTCCTCCAGGTACTTTGTGCTGAGGATGGCTGCCCGCTCCCTGCTTTTCACAGCGGTCTGAATCACTTTCCTGGCAACAGAGAGATCATCACAGTTACTTCTCAGGAACAGCCAAAGAAAATCTCCTGGTTTAAGTCTCCGTCCCAAAAAACAATTGAGAAGATAAAATTACAAAACCGGGGATGACTATTTAAAAAGCCTTCAGTTATCTTGCTTAAAGATGACATGGGGATGTCAATGCTATGTTGCAATTTGTATATCAGCATCCCTACAAATTTTACACTTTCAGTGTAAACTGTTGATGAAAAGCTAGAGCAAGCACTAGGGCTGAATGACGAAAAGGAAGAACTACCTATAATTTTTTCTCTTGCTCTGAAGAAAACAGGAATTTTTGTCTTTTGTGCCAAATGCATGGGTTCAGCTGGCATCTACGCAGATTTTTTGGGGTGTACTACCATTAAGATCACATCCGATGGCTAGCAAGGGTTTACTGCCTGCTGAGTAAAGAGTTTAGCAAGTGGTACCCCATCGCCTGTGCATTAGGAAAAAGGGAAAATACAGATGTACTCTGCCACCAAGGCAGAACCTCTTGGCCTGCCCAAGGGTTACTACAATAGGGACGGTAAGATCCACCCTGTTAAACCTGTTACACGCTTCTCAGTTCTGCTAAAACGGGGCCGCTCACCCCATACGGCGCTGCCCTTTCAGGTCCATGCCGGCTGAAGGCTCATCCCAAAGCATTACCATCGGATCTCCCAGGACACTCAGCGCAAAACACAGCTGAAATGGGAAAGACATCGAGGTCAGGTCAGGTCTGCTTTCACTTTACCTGCAAAACTGGTGAGTTGTCCTGCTACATCTTAATCCCTGTGAATCTTTTAGAAGCTGAATCTCTTGATTCCAAAATGCAGGAGGAACAGGGATTAAAAAAAACAAAACAACCCACCTCAGGTGTTCTTAGTTAACATTTTAATCTCCCAAAATTAGCTTTCCCCAAAACTCCCAAGCCTGCCAAAGATCTGAAAGTGGTTTTTCATCCCATTTACTGGCAGATATATGTGGTGGGGCATGAAGAAGCGATTACCTTGTAAATCCAATTTGTGTCTAGCATTTATTAAACACACAATGTGGGAGACTGGGGAAAGAGGAGAGGCGGGGATTCTGCCAGGCTAGATTCAAAAGCTATTGATAAGAAAAGTCATGCCAGGAACCCACTCCGCTGGAGGTTTTCTGTGCACCACATTCGAGGAAGAAAGAGCAGGATTCGCTCAAGCAGCAAACACAAATCTAACACGTACCTTTCTGGCTTCTCCAGCAGGTAACCTCCTAGCTGGGGTTTTTAAATGCTTCTGGAGATCCAAGGCCTTTGCTATGCTGTGGGGAATGGAAAGGAAAAATACTGAAATGACCATCTCTGTTTGCTAACACTGTGGTCAAGGGTACTGAGAAACCAGAGACTAATATACTTGTTTTGGCTGATGGGCATCACCTTGGGTTACCTGGTGATTTTACTCCTAGCTCAGATTGTAAATTAAGGAATTCTTGCAGAAACTCAAGACAGTAAGCACAGCTAATGAGAGAAGTGAGTTACTCATGTAACTGGCCACGAATTGGAGCAAGCTTAATTTTTTTCTGAAGTTTTCTAGGTAAACTAGGGCTAAAATCTTCATTAACAAGGGATTGAGAAGAGTATAAAGTAGTAGATCTCATCAGAAGGAGATCCCGTTTCTCCAAGGTAAAGAGGCATTGAAGGTGCTGTCTCTTAATCACACTAGCCAGGTTTGTTAGCAGAAAAACCTTCCTCTGCCCTAGACCTCTGGAGAGAGAAAGAACCAAAAGCTCCAATCATTTGGCTTTGTACCGGCTGATGGTAACAGCTGCATCTTCTTTCCTCATCCCTCTCAGGGCAGCGTACGTCTCCAGATGCTGGTGCACGGTCAGGTCTGGCCAGAGCGGGTCCTTCTGCGGGCAGCAGCCCAGGCATCCTCGGCTGCCCTGCCCTGGGGAGGAGGCAGCTGCATCGCAGCCCTTGAGCAGCACCTGCACAAACACACATGCCTCTCTAGTTGGAGTGTCTTATTCTGGAGTAAACCGATGAACCCCTTGGAAACGCGGTAATGTTTTCTCCTCTGTTGCTGGGAAGCTCATTAGCACATGGGAAGGGAAGGCCATCATCATTGGAGCGAGTATCTCCATCAACCATGGCTTCTGCTCACCGGAATGCAGGACAGTGTCTTCACAAAACTAAACAGTATTTTTACTACCGTAAAACTTTGGGTAATAGTACTAGCATGAGACTATATTTTCCTAGTAATACTTTTATATTTTGAACATGCTGTCCCAAATCTGTAACAGCAATGGTATTTCCCCTCCCCCAGCACATGTCATTAATCATCTTGCACGTAATTAAGTGATGGATTGTTACTGGCCCAACCCTGTTCACATTCGTTTTCAATTTCCTGGTTTTGCAAGGCTGTTTATGAAGAACGTTGGTTTTTTTTTTTTTTTGATGTCAACATTTCTTACAGGGCTTGTGAAATTTCACGATAGGTTCCAAATGCACGTTGAAGATTTTGTGTAGCTCAAACCCTTAAATCTGTAATGTTGATTTTGATGAAAACTAGAATGTGCTTTGAGTAAATCAACATTTTCTTCTTACTTCTGTAAATATCCAGGGTTGCATGTACAGAAATTCCCTGACTTGAGGGCTGCATTGCTGGCTTGCCTTATCACATCCTTAATTTATAAAGGCATCAAGGTCACCCCCCCAGCTGCTCCAAAGGAATCACCTACCTCCCCAGCAGTCACCGTTATGTCTCCAGAAATCATGTTTATAGTTGTGCTTTTTCCAGCTCCGCTGGGTCCTAACAGTCCTAACACTTCTCCTGAAACAAATATGCAAGAACTGTTAATAATAATTATTGTTAATAAGACCTTCTTCCCTGTGTGCTAGGCAATATCTAAAAGTACAGCAGGAGAAAGGGTTGTTCATTAACTTATCCCCATAAATTAAAATGGTGAACGCAGGAGCCTGGGTGCATTGGGTCTGGTTGCACAGAAGAAAATTCAACCAAAAATATGGTCTCCAAATGTGACCTTTGCATTAGATTTTAGTCATTTATAGGGAGGGCAGCAAAATACTTGAACCTTTTTTGACACTAAAAGAGAGGTTTTTGACAGCAACTTTCTTCTTTTTCTTAAAGATGGAACTGGCTTTCTTGTCTTCCCATTCCTTGCGCAAACTGTTGACAACGATAACCGACTCCTGTGAAGAGATGAAGCAGCAAATAAAACCTCTCCCCATATCCCATGAGACAGCTGATCTGTTCTTACCATTAAGTATAACCCTTTAAGGGGAAAATTTCTAAATTAAAAATCCAGGAAACAGATCAACACAAAAAAAGGGAAAAAAGTAGAATGGGAATAAAAATATAGTGCCAGCTAAACTCCTTCTGGTGCCAAGGCAACCATGGGCTGGATGGTGAGATGTGCACTTGGCCATCGGATCAGTAAGTAATAAGTGCATGAGCTAAGAAAGCAGGGACAGACCTGAAGATGGAGAATGAAAAAGAAAACAAGCTGGAAGCCTGGTTTCACCTCCTCCTGCTGCATGGATGCCATCGTGGTCCTCACCCTCTCCCTCTCCGCCTGGACTTCTGGAGACTCCTCCCCAGGGGGATCCCTGTTCTGGTGGGCGACCGCTTTCCTCTGCTGGATCCTACGAACAGAGGAGGAGAGATGGTGTCACTGGGAATCACTTCCAACAAGGCTTGGTTTTACCAGTTTGTTCCCAGGGCAGCGCCAATGCAGCGCCCTGCAAAATTTATTTGAATTCAGGGAGCTGTTCCACAGACTGGGTTTGCTCAAATATTTATTCGTGGAGGGAAAAAAAATAAAAATAATCCTGCTCGCGTGCATGAGAAAATAAAGGCCAGCTTTAGCTTTTCCATCATCAGTAAATGTTGTCTCGTCCCCTGCTTGACACATACCAATGATGTTTTCAAGGAGAATTAAAATACATGGGGCAGGCTTTCAAAGCTATTTGGGCATCTAACTCCTAGATGAGTCACATTTGTTAATGTTTGACAATTTAATATTTTTTTACAAATCTTCTCCCACATGACTTAGGTGGTCAGTCGCATGCTGTTGGCGACAGATAAGCAGAGAGCAGGTAGCAGACGAGCTCAGCCTGACAAAGTTTTAGGGGAAGTCTCCATCCTGCAGAGAGCAATACTGAGACATTTGAAAAGGAGTTAAAATGTCGGGTTTCAATTTGTAACTATTAATTTAGCCAGCTGTAGTGAAATGTCCTGAAACCTCAGCTATGAAGCTTAATAAAAAAAAGCTTAAGTCACATTTATTATTCTCTCTAGGACGTTGTAGTTCAACTGACCTTCTGCTGCAACACACTGGGTGGGAATTTGCCTCCAGACACATTCAGGGAAACTCCAGTAAGTGAAGTCTGAAACCGCAATGACCCAAAGGAATAAAAAAATCCCTCCCTTCGCTCTCAATTTCCTTCCCTCCAGATAAACTGGTTAAAACTAAAAACATGAGCTTTATCCATGCTTTGCAAAATGTTTTTAAAGGTCATTCCTCCCCTCCTCCTGCTGTCAGGGATGAGCCGGGAGGGTCCTGCCTGGCTGTGCAGCACCGAGCCCACCCCGCAGACTGGGATCACTGGGGCTCGCAAGGCACCTCGGCTGCCGGGGACACACCTGAAGATGGGATCAAGTCTCGTAACTGCTTCTCCAGATCTCATCTCCAAACAGCGCAGGAGAAAAGCAAAAATCACACAATGGATGTAGGGCTAAAAAGCAAAAATGTATTAGGTTTGTACTGAGACAAGGTAACAACACGCTCGATTAATTATAAGAGGATGCAGGGATCTATCTCATTTACTTCAGCTATTGAAAAGGTCCAAAAGGGGTAGAAGTTAAATTGATGCTTCGCACACATTTCCATCTCATATGCAGATCATTTGCAAAAGCCTTGACTTCACACTGCAGTTTTAGCTCAGATAATCCACACCCCAACAGACATCCCACAGGATCAGAGATCATACTTTCCTTTTGTAGAAGTAGCATTAGACTGATGAGTCAATTAATGATATCTCTGCCTTATACGTGAGCTCCACTTAAGCTCCCCACCATTTTTGCACATATGGTACAGCATCCAGGGGTCACATGAGGCACAAGCCCATGATTACTTGGATGTACACCTCCCCAGCCAACATTTAATGTGAAACTTTGACCATATAACCCATGCTTTATTTATGGGGAGAGTTATACAAGCCCAGTGCAAGCCCATCGCATTACAGCAGTCATCCTTTCCAAAACAACCATCATCAAATTTCTCCTTACTGCAAAGACAGCTACGAAGACGTGATTCCATGACTCAAGAAGACCAGTACTGTGATAAAATGAGAAACGCTACAAGAAAAAAATATCAATTAGAAAAATTCCTTAGCACAGTGTGCCTCAATGCAGGGTCGGAGCAAGTGAGGGATGTAGGGATGCTTAGAGTTTCTTCAAGATGGGATAAAGGAGCTTTGATCTCTACTTATTTTGGGGGGTTCATGCGGACTCAAAGAGCTGCGACTTCTGTGGCTACAGCTGATTCAGAGGTGCCTCAAATCAGCCAGGTTAGATCGACCTTTTCCATCACTGCTTCTCTCTTCCCAATCTTTCCACCTCCCTCTGTCAGCTCACTTCATCCCTCCAGGTCTTCCCACTCCACCACCTTCCCCTCCCATGCTATCCTGGCTGCCAAAATACAGTCATTGTAACAGCTTTTTGTAACTAAACAAACCAAAAATATCCCAATCGAAGAAAGGATTAACAAGTCAAATCTTGGTCTCTTCTCTCACTCCCCAGCCTTGACTATTTCTTCTCCTGTTGTTTTTTCTCACTCTCTCTTTTTGACAGTTGGCACTTTGAGACAGGGAATTGGGAAAGCGTCTCTTGCTTTTTCCAGTTTGCACCATTAGGACCATTATTGAATTCAGTAGGAGATGTTTACTTACTGGTGTGCAGAAGATCAACCAGCCCAGCAGTGGAAACACAGGAATCAAAGTAGAGAAGGTGAAGTAAAGTGCTTCGTGTAGGTCACTGATCATATAGAAAGTGAAATTCACCTGAAAAAAAAAGCAGAAAAAATATTTCCAATATTAATGTATTGCTGCTAAAAAATAGGCTATTTGTCACTGATTTGGGTATTCTGCTGAACATCACTATATTTGAAGTGAAACCTCAAGTGGCAAGATGAGTAAATCAAACACTTCAGAGTGAAGATTCACTTCACTTACCAGAATGAACACGGAAGACCAAATGTAACGATTGCTTCGTCCCGTCCGGAATTTAAAGGCAATTAAATAGACGAGGAGGACAAGAGATACTCCGTAACCAATGATGCAAATGATCTAGAGAGAGAGACACCGGTGTCAGCAACAAGGAGATGAACGTGGATATATGAAAACCTGCCCAAAGCAGTCCATTTCAATTAAAATATTTAAAGCAAAAAACTCGCTGCAAAAGGAGGGAGGGGGATTTGCATCTGCCTGTTTTCCCGCACACAAAGAGCTCACCAGGGTCAGCACGTCGCTGGTCTGCAAGGGGAAGCTCTGGTTGAAGAGCAGCAAGACCCCGAACATGAGGCACACCAGGGTCCAGAAGAGCGGGACGTCCACCAGC